CCAGAGAGAGACAGAAAGAGAGAGAGAGAAGGATAGTGAAAAAGCAAGCCACTAGGTCTGGGACTTGAACCATGGTTGGCCATGTGGGAGTCCAGCATCTCAACCATCATGCCACCTGTCGGCCCTGAGACTGTTTTATTTAGAATGACAACTACAGTGCTTAGTACAAAGTAGGCACCTAATAAATATTTGTTGAATGACTAGCATGTTGCTTCAGACCTTTAATTAAAATTACATTGTTGACTATGATATTGATGCTTTGATCATTTAATCTGAAAAGCAACTTTGTGTCGGCCAGACATACATTTTATTTGGAAAATGTAATGGGAATTTTGGACATTCTTTCTTGGTTGTGTTCAAATTCATAAATTATAATCAGGAAAAATAAATTACAGGATTGAAGATTAGTCTTTTAACAGACAAATTAAATACCAGTGTTCAGTGGCATGTATTTGGTGCTGTAAATTAGTTTATGCAGAATTTATGAGTCAAACCTAGGCAATTAATTCTGATGGTTATTCAAAAAGAATTAGTCACAAGGACAATTGGGAGAGAGCAGGGATTAGTTAAGATAAACAGTAATTTTTAATAATCAAGATTTTACTGTATTTTAAAAGAAGTGCCTTGTTTTGCCCTCTTTGCCTTGTGTGTGTGTGTGTGTGTGTGTGTGTGTGTGTGTGTGATATTCTGCTTACTGAAACATGAAAACCTTGTTTGTTTCAGGATCAGATTTGCAAGTATGTCTCCCCAAGGGTCCAACATGCTGCTCAAGAAAGATGGAAGAAAAATACCAGCTAACAGCACGATTGAACATGGAACAACTGCTTCAGTCTGCAAGTATGGAGCTCAAGTTCTTAATTATTCAGAATGCTGCAGTTTTCCAAGGTGAGTTCTGGGGGTCATTTTAGATGTGCTGCTCAATGGCATCATTATTTGAGCACTGGGCTTTCAAATGCTAAGTATAATTTATAATTACCATTCCAGCATTAATGTTGTATGTGCACGTGTGTATATATGTATTTATATGTGTGTGCGTGTGTGAGATATATATATATATATATATATATATCCCCTCCCAGTGAGAAATTCTCATTAAATAAAAACATAGTTTTTAGAGAAGTTCATTTCAAAGGTAGGTAATGTCAAAAATTCTTGTTCAAGGACATCCTGTTTACCAGAATGCAAATGTTGTAAACCTTTTCAGACAGAGTATATGATACTTTCTTTAAACTGGTCCATAAGACTTGGGTAAAGAACAAAAATGTTTCCTTGAATCTGGGTACCCAGTGTTCTTCAGGAATGAGTTAGATACTTGAACACACATGAACTCCTCCTGACCACTAGGACCACTTCCATTTTAGAGGGAAAAACTGACTGTTGGCCTGACATTTTCCCAAATGTATGAGTGGTGACCTGTCCTTTCTTTGTGAATCTCACTTCTTACCATGCATGGATGACTGTGAAAGAACCTGTTGTGGCATTGCCAGAATGGGTAGGAATTTACATTTCTTCTTGCTAACTTGTAGGACTATCATAGCAGGATGGGGAATACCTCCTTCAACCTAAAGACCCAGCCAGGAATAATGATGATGGTGGTGGTGGTGGTGGTGGTGGTGGTGATGTGGTAGGAAGCACTTATATAGCACTATGTACTCTGTGCTTTTCAATGTGCTTTACATATATTCATCAATTTAATCCTCATAGATATGGGCAGGTTTTACTATCTCCATTTGATGGATGAAAACCAAAGGCACAGAATGGTTAAATAGCCTACCCAAGGTTACACAAACAATGAATGGTGAAGGCAGGATTTGATCCAGGTGGCCTGGCTTTTAGAGTCTATGCTTTTAACTACCTTAGTAGGCTGCCTCCTGTGACTGGGAAAATTAATTATAAATGATGGGGCTTTCTTCTGTCCTTCCTCAAACAGTTGGAATCAGCTGACTTTTTCTTACCCCACAAAGAGGATTGGCAGGTAGAAAAATAACACTACTGCCTACTTGACATTGCAAAGCTTTAGATTAATGGTACCTTTACAAGAATTAACCTCTTTGAATTAGAAGGTGGGTTGGTTCTAGCTTATTTTGTGTTTTATAATGAAATTCTTAGAATTAGCTGAGAAAATTATTCAAATTAGCTAATAAAGCATACATTCACAACAGTTTCTTGGGTCAAAGCCTCAGGGGATGTTAGGTTGATTATATGTAGTACAATATTTAAGCCTGAAGTATTTGTTAGCCTATTTATTCAGTCAGACTCTTGTGAAGAGTTTGTTGAGACTAACAATTTGGCGATAGAATGAATAATTTAGGTTGATTTTAAAAATACATGTACCATTCATGTACTTGTTAGATTGGTTTTGGAGTTGATCTGCTGGCTGAAAGTGGGGTGATAAGAAAAAATGTGACATGAGGATTGGGTTGAAGCTGAATCTTACTCTTGGGGCACCAAAGCGCCTTTTTAGAATGGAGTATTCGTGATTTACTTAATTCCTAGAATAATCAAACCCCAAAATGGCTGTCCTACAACCATTGCCTAGCTGGAGAGAGGTGGTAGAGTGATCACCCTGGTATTCTATCATGCAGAGTAGCTGACATGGATGTCCATCTGAGGACTCTGGATGTCAGCATTAATGTCTCTGTCCAGTCCTGTACCTCGTATATTGCATTGTATATTGTATTTTCTAGGCCTGAAATAACATTAGACTAGGAGAGAAGAGAAATTCTCCCAATATGGCTGCTGTAGCATGGAGGCTGAACACTAGTCACTTGAGGAAAGTGGGAGCAGTACATACTAGTCATATCTCCTCTTTCTCTCAATATGTTTCTATTGCTCTTTCTCTGTCTCATGGATGTGCACACATGTGCACATGTGCACATACACAAACACACACACACACACACACACACACACACCCCTTCTGTCATGAATTGTGGGGACAGGAAGGAGGATAATCTTAGCAAAAGAACATGGAGACAACTAAATAGTTTTGAACTCATTGTTGCTGGTGTCCTCTACCTTGTTACCATATGTACTCATTCTTTATCATGTTTCATTGCCTTTTCTTATTTTTTCCTATATCACTTTCAGACAACATAAACCTCATAAGAATAAATAAACCATGGTTCCAGACCTCAAGGCATGTATGCCATGTTTGGGGAGACATCGCCTCCGTATCCTTTCGATAACATTTGGGGAGATAAGATTTAACATCAAGGACCAGTACAAGATGATATACTCACTTCTTGGCCAGCCACAGTGGCACAGTGGTAGTGTAATACCCTACAATGCTCAAAGACACATGGAAGATGAGAGTTTGGTTCCAGGGGGACATGTACATGCTGGGCATGTGTGTGCATGTGATCTTGGCTAGCAGGGGGAGCTTGGGGAAGGATTGTGGCATAAAACTGTGTTGAGGGTGTTTGTCTCCCTCCACGAAGTTAATCAACTTTTTAGAAAGTATCCATTTCTTATTTCCTTATACTTACAGAACTCATTATTCCAATTAGTTGAAATCAAGGGGGGTACAATTTTTTTCTCCTAAAATACATCTTCTCCCCAAGATTCTAGTAGACAAAATGACTGAGAAAAATCCCCCATACTTGGGACCAGCAGTTAGCGTAATGGCTATGTCTCTGGACGCCCACGTAGTTGACTGTGGTTCGCGTCCTGGACTCAGTGGCTTAAAACTCACGCCGGGCGCGTGTGTGTGCGTGCCCAAGATCTTGAGAGGAGAATGGAGGAGAAAGGATTGTGACGTGGCCATCCCCCCTGGGGGGTGATTTCTCACTTTCTGTCTCTCTGTCTCTCTGTCTGTCTGGCGAGTGCACATGCCCTGTAGCAAAAACCTCTCCAAAAAAAAAAAAAAAAATCCCCCATACTTAACTCTTATGACATTGGGTGTGGCAGCTTTTGTGAGCTCTTTTCTTCAGTTTATAAAGTCGAAGAAAGCTCATCTTGATCTTGGCCTAGACCCACAACCTCTTTAGGCTTCCTTCACTAGTCCACATTGGGGATATTTAAGCAGTGAGTGTCTTCTACAAATACGTGCACAGTTCCACGAGCAATCCTTACTGCATCCATTCAGATTTTATGTCTTCATTTGCAGAAAGCCTTTGCCCTCATAAATGAGCCTGGGGCCCTTTGCTACAGTGGTTGGAGTGCTCTATTGCTAATGTTGTTTTGATAATGATTGAAGCATTTAAAAAAGTTGTTCTTTATTTTCAATCTTTGCATTGCCTCGTTTCCTAAATTTAATTGACTTAAATGTGCTTAGTAAAATGAGGCAGCAAAATTGTTTTTTTGTTTCTG